TTTTTTTAATATTTTAAATTCAAATAATTATTAAAATGTCTAAATAATTTAATGGTCTATCAAAACGAGAAAAATAAATAAATTAATAGTTTAAATCTATTGAATTAAGTGGGCAGATTTCGGATTATATATTTTTTTAGATTGTATTTAGATTATGGGTTTAGGCATAAATTTGAAGGGAAAAAAAAAGGTGAAATATATTAATATTTCATTTATATTTCACACATATTTTTCTTTTTATTTTTTTTAAATCTTTACTTAAATTTATAATCCAAACACAATTTTAACCAAAACAGGCTAGACTGGAAATAAAGTATATACTTTTGTTGAGTTATTTTTGAAATTAACTATTTTAGGTGATTTTTTAATTTTTACGAAAAAGACGCCTAAAAGCTGAGAGAATAGTTAATTTTTTGTAGTGAATTTTTAACATTTTAACTAAAATAATTTTTTTTCAAAATAACCCTAAACTTGTTTTGACAAATAACTAAAATAGTTAATAAGTTAAAAAATCATTACAAAAAATTTAATTTTCCTCTTTATTTTTTGTTTATAAAAAATTAAAAATTTAATTAAAATAATTCATTTTTAAAATAATTTTGTGTCTGTCCAACTCAAAACCGACCCAATCCGATACTCGTACACAAAGAGGAGGGGATGCTTGTACACAAGAGGAGGGGACCATAAATAATGGCATGTTGGTTGGCTGAAAATGAAGTCAAATGAGCTTAAGGCCAATATAGCCAGACAAATGCGCGGCGACCACACAACGCCATGTGTCACATCTGATTTGTGCCTATTGATTTTATTGATCAATGAAGACTTTACATCTCCCTCTCCCCTTTCTCCACCATTATTATAACTTCGTCCCAACAGTCACTACAACTTGGGTTTGATGTATTCAATTTTAGGTATTTATAATTACAGTAATGATTTAGAGCTTTAAATCCATCATTAGTGAAATAAAAAATTTAAAAAGAAAAAGAAAAGGCACAACATATATTGTGACAGTAAAATTCACTGTCACATCATTAGTGATAATTCTAATTAGTAGTCTCAAACATTATTGTTATAATTATAAAAAAATAATTTAATAATAATAATAATCCCAGCATCTTATTGTTATTGTTTTTGAAATAAAAATAGATATTTTAAAAAGAGTTGTGATAGAGTCCTTCAAAACTCCTACACGCCCCACATATTTTGTGAGAGAGAAGAGAGAAAGAGAGAGAGAAAAAATATATATATAAATAAATAATAAGTGGTCACAAATCAATTAAGAACTGTGGAGATCATAAATTTTGGAGGTTTCAAGTATTATTGTTTTAAAAAGGTAGACTCCTTTATTTTTTTAAACTAAAATGGAATAAATTATTAGAATTTGTATCCGTAATTGGTCCAATAAGCGTTGAATCGTTTAATTCACTGAAATGGAGATAATCTTACTCAAACAATCTTAAAGACATAAAATTAACAGTCAAACAAAGATAAAATAATTCACATCACTTCATTATACATCCTAAAATAAGTATAGAATTATTTGTACTTGCATCCACTCTATATATTCGTGTTTCTCAATTCAGAACTTTAAAAACTTCCAAAAACAAAATTAAATGGTGTTAATTGAATTGGTTAGGATCATCTTCATTCAAGGTGTCATGTTTTTAAGCTCGAGGAATGGATAGGGTTAGGGTCTTCTAATTCTCTTACAACCATATGCTCATCTTAGATAAGGTCAAAAATATATATGATGTGTGAGAGTAAGGACATGGTCATTTTATATTAAAAAAAATATTAAGGATCTCAAATATTTTATTAAATATTTTACCAAATGTTTCACATGGATGTGAGACTCACACTATGTGAATCCCGTGTGAATCTCACATCATCTTATTATTATTGTTTTCGAAATAAAAATAGATATTTTAAAAACGGTTGTGATAGAGAGCTCTAGGACCCTCACACCCTCCACATATTTTGTGCGAGAGAGGGAGGAGAGAGATGGGAAAAAAAAGAAAAAAAAATAATGAGTAGCCACAAATCAATTAAGGGTTGTAGGGTCACAAATTTTGGAGGTTCCAAGTACTATTGTTTTAAAAAGGTAAACTCTTTTATTTTCTTAAACTAAAATAGAATAGATTATTAGAATTTGTATCCGTAGTTGGTCCAATAAGCGTTGAATCGTTTAATTTACTGAAATGGAGATAATCTTACTCAAAAAATCTTATAGACATAGAATTAATAGTCAAATAAAGATAAAATAATTATCATCACTTCTATTATACATTTAATATGGAATTATTTGTATTTGTATCCACTCTATGTCCGTGTTTCTCAATTCAAAACTTTTAAAACTTCCAAAAACAAAACTAAATGGTGTTAATTGAATTGGTTAAAATCATCTTCATTCAAGATGTCATGTTTTTAAGCTCGAGGAATGGATAGGGTCTTAGCATCTCCAACCCACTAGGCATATGATGCTTGTTAGTCAAAATGCCTAATGTGACTCACTTTTTTCAACTCCAATGCACTAGGCATATGCTTAGGCATTTTGGCTCAACTCACATTCACTAGCTACATGTAGCTAGCCTTCAAGGCTAGGCAAAATATATTTAATCATTAAGATTATTTCCCTCCATCTTTGTTGCTGACGTGGCATTCTATAAAGTTAATAGTATTTGGATGAATAGCTAAAATAAAGAGCATGGTTGGGGCAGAAACATGAAATCGTTGATAGGCAAAATAAAATGTATACTTTATAGTAATATTTAGATAAGTAAAATGCCTACTACCATTGGAGATGTTACATCATACGCTCACCTTAGATAAGGTCAAAAATATATATGATGTGTGAAATTAAGGACATGGTGATTTTACATAATAATTGAAATTATATATTAGGACTGAGTAAGAAATTTGTAAAATTTGTAATTCGGTCCAATTCAGTAGGTTTGGATTGATTTTTTGAATCCGTGATCCGGTTTTGGATTGAAAAATTAAAAATCTGTAGTTCATTGATTGGTTTTGAATTGAACCACACGGTTCCGGATTGGAACAGATTTGGACCGCATACAAATAGTCTATATTTTATTTTTATTATACACCCTCCTCCATCGTATCTTCTCTTATTTCATATAAAACTTAAATCCAAACTTAAACTTGTATAGTATCTTCTTTTATTATTTTTATCTGCTAGTTTTTAGTGTTAATTTGTAATGATTTAAACACTTATGGTGGAACTAGTTTTCTTATGGTTATTTAAATTCTAAAACAGTTTGTCGCTATTATGAAAATACATGTTATTATTGTGAAATTAATATGGTGCTATATTTATATTTTTATGAAATTAAAGTGTGATATATATTTTTTTGTTATTTAATTATGTAAATCCATGGTCCTAAACCGATCCAATCCGTGTTTAAATAGATTGGTTCAGATTGATTCCACGATTTAAACGGGTTAGATTGATTCTAATTTTTCAAAAACTATAAATAACGAATTAATTTTAATTTTGCTCTAATTCAATCCAATCCAATCCAATCCGATTTATCCTCACCCTTAATATATATGATGCGTGAAAGTAAGGACATGGTCATTTTACATAATAATTGATCTTGAAGAGATCTTCTAATTATGAACTCTGGGAGGTAACTTTTATTATTATCCTCTATTATTATCTTACACTAAGGTGCATCAAAATCCAATGAGACGCCGAATTACAAAAAGAATTATTATTTGTTAATAATTATTTTCAAATAAGAAACTTATCATAAATATTAACATGAGCCTTTTTGGGCTGGGCTTAGACTAGATAAAACACAAAATTCTTGTCCCCAACCCAATCCAGCTTGACATGGTTTAAAAATCTCATTTCAAAACCCAATCTTAAAATAATACCATAATTATATTACAAAATAAAGCACTAATTTTGTAAAAGTCCAGAATTTTTAATTTTCTATCCTCCTTGATCTTGAGTGGATGCTGTTACTGTGAAGTTCATTAGATGTTCTTTGGGCTTCGTTGGAAATTAATTCTTTAGATCTTTTATCTATTAGTCTTTTGTTCTATGTTTTTTGCTTCCTCTCTTAATCTTATCTATATTTTGCTAATGATTGCGTAGTTGTGTTCGGACAATCAGTTACATTGTGTTTGGATCATACATTTGAATGAAAATTTCAAGGAAAATCTGAAAGAAATTAAGCAAAATTTTAAATTATACTTCATTCATATTTCTCTTATCTTTCTCTTTTTAAATCTCTATCTAAATTTATAATCTAAACACAACAACCTTAGAGCAACCATAATAATAAGCATTTTTATCTTACAAAAGTACATGAGAATGGTACGTCTTATATTTTGCTTGGTTACTTTACTTAGTGTGTATTCCAACAGTATTCTCTACTTTGATACTAATTTGTTTAATTGTACAAATTGGATATAAGGGGTTGAGAATGATATGTAATACTTAGAGATATAAGATGAAATATAATTTGTTTAGGATATGACATGACTTATATATATATTATAGGATCACTTACTTATACTATATTTGATTAAAACATAATATAACATATAATAAGAAAAGAGTGATTATTTTTTACTATTGAATAAGTGATAACTTATATCATGTAATTCGAAATACGGTGTTACATATTTTGTACTTTTAAAGCATATAATATACTCTAGGATTTCATATCAAGTAACCAAACAAAGAACATAAAAAAGATGAGACCCACATGTTAGACTCAGTGTAGAGCAACTAAGGATGAAACAAAATGCCTTATTTGAGACTCCACTTCGTTATAAATTTAGGCAAAATGTTTAAAATACTTTAAATGCCTCTATTACATATTATAAGTTGAAATTTTAGTGGGTACATAGAGTCCAGGGAAGTGCATTGTTAGTAGTTTCTCCTTTCTTATCCAATTTGTATTATACCTAAAAAGAAACACAATCTTATGAACACTTCTTAAGTACTTAGTAGACAGTGTTTAGAGTTATTTCCTTCCACAAAAGCTCGTTAACCATTTAAATTTCATGTTATTTTGAAAAACTAGCGCACACACTAATCTAGGTTCCTGCCCGAAAGACCATAATAGAATTTCCCATGCAAACAAAAACAAACTATACAACAGCACCACCTCTCTGTAAATTTCTACACAAATATTCAATGACAAATCATCAAACACCGTCTACTGACTAACACATTCAAGAAAAAAGATTATAATCATCAAAAGCTCAAAGCTCTTCATGCGCTTCAGAGCGCTCATAAGACGGAGATTCATAAATATTGGAGTCTTCAAATGCCTCGTGCACATACGAATCTTGTGAATCTTTATTGGAGTCTTCAAATGCCTCATGCACGTACGAATCTCGTGAATGTTCAGCATTTTCAAAAGCAGAAGCTTCGTAAACTTTAGTTTCCTCCGCTTCAGAATCGGAACTTTCAAAAGCAGGAGTCTCGTAAACTTTAGTTTCCTCTGGTTGAACAAACTGAAGTAAGAAATGCACTCCATTGACAACATCATATGCCATTATTCCAATTCTTCCTCCAACCCAACTTCCCAATTCGCTCCCAATCAAATAACCAAACCTCCCAAACCTTTGCTCTCCAAGGAAACCAACAGCATAGGTTCCAAACAAGGTTCCAGTGCCACGGAGAAACCCTTCTGTCATTGTACCCCCATAGTAAATTGCTTCAAAAAAATCCCATCCTGAAGAGATTATAGGGCCTATGATGCGTTTGGCTTGTCGGGTTGCAAGTTTTGCCGCTTTTGCTGCTTCTTTCTGGGCTTGTTTAGCAGCATCTTTGGGAGCCAAGCCCTGTGACAAAGCATCAACTAGCGCTTGTTCAATTGCTTTATGCCTTGCTCCCTCGACATGAGCAGCTCTGATATTGTAGAAGTAGATCTTCACACCTTCCTTCACCGCACATGCCACAGTTCCTGAACTCCCATCGAAACAGTTTAAAATTGTAAACTTCCCACTCTTAGATGAAGCCTCTTCGCCAACCAGGTGCCTACATTTGTCAGCTATAAAGAGCAAAAAGTGAGAACATCTCTTTTGAAAAGACAATAAAGAATAGAGAAGAAAAGACATATCATTAGAAGAAACATATTTGATATCTCAATAGAAGTACTATGGAACTAAATATGTTGCAAAGAAACGTAGTTTATGTATTAGCATATTGGCTTGTGCATATAATCCAATTGAACGAAGAGAGAATATATATTGACAGAAATAAAACAATAAATAATCTGTGCCTTGTGGAACTAACAATTTACGCCACCATGAAACGACAATCATAAGATAACAAAAGAACAATGTCATATAAATTGCAGAGAAGTATGAAACATTAAAAATTAGAAATTATGTAGAGTATAAATCCTATGGTATAACAATAAAGAAGAATTCAGGGAAAACATATAGTGGAAAAGAAAACATAAATAAAATAACATATCCAGTGAAGATAAATCATAGTTGTGAGAAAGACAATGAGGTTAGCTGAACATGCGGTTTAGCAATAAAAAAGAGAGAACAATACTACTATCCACTACTACGATTATCTTGCAAAGAAACAACAAAAACTGGGCCTAAACAGGCTAATGCTTGTATGAGGGAAAAATTCCAATTAAGTACAGTAATTTTCAATCTAAAGAAGTCAAACTTCATGGATTCACAGATTTAGCTCCCCTCTAATGCACTTACATTCTCGATGAGGATGACAACTACTGCAATTGGAAAGTTACATGCCATAAAGTGCAATAGCAATTGTTGACATTGACTATATTAAGGCCTCGTTTGGGAACAAGCTAATTTAGTAACTTTTTAGCTAATTGGCTAAAAAGGTAGGTAAAAAAAACTTGTATGTTTGGGATGACTTTTTGATTAATTACGAAAAGCTGTACAAAAAGTAGAGAGAAGCCGTAATTGTTGAATTTTTGGTATAACTAATTGGCTAATTGGCTAATTTAGTAACTTTTTGACTAATTGGCTAAAAAGGTAGCATCCCAAATGAGGCCTAATTATAATGTGAGTTACCAAAATCTGGTATGAAGGACAGAAAAGCTTATGAGAACTAATTATTACCATAAAAAAGAGCAAAATAAGTAATAACTATTTTGATACGAAATTCCAGCAAACAAAAATACCCGAAAATTAAATTCTCTTCTTGACCACTGAATAGTTAGGAACAGGCTTCTTCAATGCACTTATACAAATTGGGCTGCATCAAGGTGCCAAAATGAGAACAAACAATGAGTACTATGGCCAAAACTTCCAATGAAATGGTTTACATTTTAACTCCTCCCTAATCACTGGGTCTCAATAGGCTGATACGATGAAGAGGAATTAAAGTTGTCGATCCAAATTGTCAGGACACAGTGCTGTGACTAAATGTAAACTTTTTGCACAGCCATCATTGAATATAAACCAAACCATCATTCACAATGGCCCTCCTTTCCACAGTATCCATCCTTTCAGCCCAAGAAAACTCTTCAGCAACTAATAACAGAACACTCACGATTAAATAATTCAAACATCCACAGAAAGATACAAGGTAATTGTTAGCAACCACATTTTCTCATGAACCTAAACAAAATAGAGCAGAATAAGAGGAGCTATGACTGGATTCACAACTTCTATTCATGCTCATGTATACATATATGATATATCTCGAGTTATTTTTTTAGTTATTTACTCAACTTTTGGTTTTTGTCAGACATGATAAGTTAATATCCCATATCCCATATCCCACACATCATAACTTTATTGAGGGGTGTATATGAGTGTTGGCCCATAAAATTTTAACCGAATTTAAGATAAGATTTCAAATTCAATGGGATGAGACTACTGAAACTCAAAAGTCTTCAAACTCATACAAGCCAAGTGACACATACAAAATGTAGGATGCTAACTCTAAGAAGGATCAATTAGGGGACGGCACATACAAAGCCTATGGTGGAAAAAAAGTAGGATGCTAACTCTAAGAAGGATCAATATGATCAGTTGAAATACATGATAAGGTACAATAACAACAATGTTACTCAAGATCTTCAAGACTATACAAGCTGAGTGACAAATGGAGCCTACAAAATTCAAAAGACAATGTGTTCAATCAAATGATGACACGTACAGAGCTTATAGCAAGGAAGCTAAAGAGGATGGAATCTAGAAGATCTATATGGTTACTCAAATCTGTTATGATAACATTATGTTTAAATTCAAACGGCGGAATCATGAAATTTGAAATTCAAAATGAAGATAAGACTCTTCTATCACATAGATGACCCTCTATAAATTTGAGGACCAGGACAGAGGATCAAAAAAGCGAGATCAGAAATCATCAAAGAAAAGAGAGAGAAATGAAAGTTGAGGGACCAAAAATGAAACATTTAGAGCAATAGAGAAATTTAGAAAAACAACAGCACACAATCACTTAACACCCAACGCAGAATGATGGCAAGTTACAGGTAAAGGGTTCCAAATCCAATAATTGTACTTTGTGTAATTAGGGGTTTTTAGATCCCCAAAACTTTAATGAAACGATTCTTTTGCTTAAATTCTCCTTTGTTAATTTTTTTGCTCTTCATTAATCAGAAGTTTCACTTGTTTAAAGTGTGAATTAACAATTTGGAATCCAAATCGGAAATAGGAGCCTGCTATCAAATAATCAACTAAATAGCAGATGTTCGTAAGATGAATTTTGAAATGTTTTGAAACATTTCACGTTTAAGAATTTGTGTCAACAATGAGCCAAGCTGAACAGCTAAGTTCTCAAGTTCATCTCAGTATAATGCGCCACAGTTATTAGAACTAAGCTGCATATATCAAGCCGATGAAGGCACCAAGCTCACGATTTGGTGGTTCAACTGTTGGTTCAAGCGATTGAATTGGTGTTATAATCAAAGTTAATTTAAATATTATTATTTCATTTATAAAGCTAGTTGCCTATATACATATATATATTATATGTGATGGAAGACTAACACAGAGAAATGAAGAATGGAAGCTAGTTGGCATCTAGACAATGCTACCAGGTTTGAGCCTCTGCAGGCAACTTTTTTTCACTTTTACAAAGGGGAAGCAAACATTTTATGGCTGGTTAAACTCTGGTCAATGGTTCATTTACTAAAGCGAACCACACATTAAAACCAAACTACCTAAGCAACGGGTTCACGGTTGGACCGGTTCAACCACCCATTCCAGTCCAGTTCCAATACCACCGTAATGCACTAATATTCAATCCCCGATGCAATCCTAACCAGCCTCGTTTAAGGTTGGCCCTTGCCTTCACAAGAAGACTAAGCACAACTTGGCTCAACCTTAACAGCGCGTCATTTGGGATACAAATCTTGTTTCATCAGTTCTCTCAATAGAAGAATGAGAGCATTGTAGTGTTAACGAGGATGGTGTGGGTTGGATGGATTTGAATATTTATTTGAAGGGTTATGCAGTTTAAAATCCCAACCCACAGAGAAACTAAACTGACCGCCACAGAGTACAAAGATGCCCTAATAAACCCTCCACATCTAATCCCTGCTCACCTAACCCTACGTCGTCCACCACTAACTAACCCCCTCCCCTCATTTTCACATCTTCTATATCTTGTATCTATCTACCACCGCTCTCCATGCCACCAAGACTTAACCCTACCTTTCATTGCTCCCCATCGCCACCTCTACCACCGGTAGTGAGTCGAGTGACACCATGATGGAAGCTTGGACCACCTCCACTGTTGGAAAGCTTTTGTACCTAAAGTTAGGAGTGATAAACAAACCGAACGAGCTGAACGATTAACTGTTCAAGCTTGGTTTGAAAACTTTAACGAGCTTCAAAATTTGTTCAAGCTTGGTTCATTAAACTTTCGAGCCGAGCTCAAGTAATTTAGTATTTTTATCTAGTTTTAACGAGCCGACCGAGTAATTCACTATTTAAGTTTGGTTTGAAATCTTTAATGAACTTGAAAATGTGTTCAAACTTGGCTTATTTACTTAAAGAACTAAGCTTGAATGAGCTTTCAACGAACCGAACATGAGTCAAGCTCGAGTTGTTTGGTTTGTTTATCACCCCTACCTAAAGTGTCACAAAAGGCTAGCATGGGAAACAAATGAAATGTACCAAATTTTTAGCACGTATAATCATCAAACCAAAGACCAAAACAACTCATTCACGATTCAGTAACATCAACCATGAGGGCATTTGTTGTCGCCCTCTTTGCCACCACTATGTCATCATCCACCTTCAGGAAGAAACACTCTCACAATCTCACTCACTCAGTCAGATCTTATGTTTTTTGATCAGCAATAAAAGAAAATTTATTAATAAAGATCTCATTTCGTCTCTCTCTCTCACACATATCATTCTTACCCCCCCTCCCTCCCCCCTCTTTCCTTCTGCAGCTCCTCTTCTCCTTCCTTCCCAACACCTTCAACTCCCCATCCCCCTCTACCTTTTTTAGAACTTCCAAATCCCCATCATCTCCCATTTTAAGCAAAGTTGTGAATACCGTGCCAGTGAACATACCATTTTTTGTTATTGGTAAAGTATGTACTGGCACTAGTGCATTTCAGAGTACCATTTCAAATTTATCATCATATGTATTTATATTTATATATATAATACTTCACATGTTGACTTATTTACTCAAATAGTGTAGACATATCTAATTTTCTTTACATATGGTCCTACATTGTATAATTGTAGAAAAAAATAGAAATAGAAAAATTTAAAAATCTAAAACAACAATTAGATAACATTATGTTTTATTAATGGTAGCCTGTATAGACTATAGTTGGTATACAATTATTCTTTTTTTTTCCTTTTCTTTTGTTCTTACTTTTTTTTATTTTGACAGTGTAGTCAAATCATCAAGTTATGAGCAATCTTCATAGCTGATATCCCCTAGCTTCACCAAAGAGCTGGTGTTTATCCAAAACTGGCCAAAAATTCTTCCGCAATCCAAATTTTTCCAGTAAGACTGAAATTGTCCAGATCTGAACCACCCCCCAGCAGATGTTCGTAAGATGAATTTTGAAATGTTTAAAAATGAAGAAAAAAAACTAAACCGTCAATGTGTCATACTTTGATCGGTAATATATGAATCAGGGTGTAACAGGCAGTATGAAATGGTAATAACAGCTATGAATTGAAGAGATTTTTAATCAATGGTATTAAAGGTAGATTGGGGAACCACAACCAACATCAATCAGGGATTGAAGGTGCATGTTCACTAATCAAGGCATGTCAAAGCCCATCGAAAGTTGTAGTTCATGCAATTGTTTGATGTTATTTTCAATTAACTTGAAAGAGAATGTTAGTCATTTTGGTTTCATTCAAATCTGTCCTGGTCTTAATTTCATTAATACATTTTTTACATCTTGGTAACTTGAATGTGGCTGCATTTTGTTGAATCTATGAAGCTTAATCAATTCAATTTTGCTGCATTTGTCATTGATTAATCTATTGAACTCTGTTGAAATTTGTTTTTATTTTAAACATTTTCTGAGTTTGTTGCACTCTCTGTTTCCACTCACACAACTGCCAAGCCAAAACCACTTGTATAAATCAACCAACTCGTACGCACCCCAAAAACATGTCGCACCAACCCATGCACACTATTGGAGAGAATAAAGAGTAACAAATCCCCTTTTAGGGTTTTAAATATCGGCCATTACGTATTGAAATTTTGGACTTCCGACACTGTTATTCACCAATATATCGGCCGATTCATACTATCCGATACTGTCTAACTCTAATATTCACCAACATATGACCATATCATTGATGCCAATAACTATCCCGAAACCGTTATTTAAAACCATGCCCCACATCCAATTGATAACTAGCCTAGATACCAAGCAACACCAAGTTTTAAAATTTACAAAATATTATAATCACTCAAGTACAAAGAATATTCCAAATAAATCCAAATTGCGTTTTTCTTGTTAGTCTGTTCTACATAGCTGAGAATTTTAGAAATTAGATATACTGGGATCCTATAAAACAAAAACTTCAACGCTACTAAACAATCAACATCAAGTATTTCATGTGGATTTCACATTTTCATAAATGAAAAAACAAACCCAAAAAAAAAAAAAAAAAAATCAAATTCATATACTTCGTAATTTCCCTAGTTTTTATTAGATGCCCGTAAAAATAAAAAAGATCAAAGAAAACAACACCGAAATTAAATAAATTTCGATCTTTCATCGCCTCATACAATTAGACTCCCCATTTCATTTGAGTTCTACGCATCAAATTCATAAGAAACCATATATATATATATATATGCATAGATATAGATATACCTGTGAAACTGAGAGCGATTATGCCAATGATGAAGAACAGAAATTGAATTCGTTTCTTCTCAAAATCCATGGAATCTGGAAACCCTAACATGTTGTAATACTGCAATTTATGCGTCTGAGATCGGAACAATGATAGATTTCGTGTGAAATGCTGAATCAATCAACAAGTGCGAGTCAAAGTGAGTCTTTTGAACCCAGAGAGAGAGAGTTCGCGGAGAGATAGCAAGCTTGAGGCTATTGCCAAGATACGTACAACTATTAATGCTGAAACAGAGTTGTACGTCTATTTAGTGATAGTCTTTATTGCTCTAATTATTAAAGCTGTGGGATTCTATTTTTATACATTCTATTCGTTTAATGATATTTTAATTTTTTCGTAGTCAAAATTTTCATATAATTTTAAATTTGTAAACGTATTAAAATACATATTAATAATTTAAAGGCAAAATCTTTGACCAAACACACCATATTTGATTATTTCAGGGTCGTTTTCCTTTTGAGAAAAAAGTTTCTGATTTTTAAATGAAAAAATTGAGAAATTCTATTTCTACACATCTGATTAGCTTAAGATATACACTTAATAAAAAATTAATTTGATGAATTATATCTTAAGTAAAAATGATCATAACATATGTACGGGGAGCAAATATTCCGGCGTGCCCGTATTCCTTTCTTCTGAGTTCCGTCGATATCCGATCACCTGCGAGCCAATAGGGGTGAGCTACCCGGCGGTGTGTGGCCGGAAACACCCTCCGACGATCAAGTTAGCACACACCTTAGAGGGAATAGAGAGAAGGGAGAGAGTGTTTGAGTGTAAGAAATTCCTTACAGAGTGTTCGTGTGTCCCGTATGGGGGGCGCAGACATGCTTATATACCTTCTGTGCCCCATATCCACTCCCTGTCATCTCCTGACACGTGGCTCTGCTATCCCATCTGTCAGCATAAACCATGCCGTTCATCACCTGCTCTCAACTGCCTGCCAGCATAGCTGGAGCTCGGCAGCCGAGCTGCCCTACCTCGGTCATACCATGCTTCATACCTTAAGCGCCTGTCCGGATAACCGAATGAAGGACCGGGCTAGGCGGCATCTCGGCAAAGCTTAGCCCGGGCTCCTCCTTTGGTCGGTCTTCTCGCCGGTCAGTCAACTACCTCGGCTGACCGCGCCTTTCCGAGCGCCGGCCTCTCGGTCTGTCTGGTCTCGACAATCCTCGGACCGAGCATCCCGGTCTGACCGGTCACTTCCTGGCCGAGCACCTTCTGCACGGTTCGGGGCAGCACACAGTCCAAACTCTGCCCGGCCCAAGTTCTGGTAGCCCATCTCCGGGTGAACAGTCGATCATCTCGGCCCAATGCTCTGCTGGGCCCTCAACCTGTTCGATTTATACCTCGGCCCTACGCCGGAGCATAAATCACCCTCTCAACATACATCCAACAACACCCATAATATTATATAAAAAAAATCTCAGCACACATCTTTTAAGAATTAAAAAATCTCAATATACATCTTTTGAGTTAAACAAATTAAACCTTAGTTTTTTCATTATTGTCATTTTGTTTGTTACACACTCTATACTCCTCTATTGCTTGTAAACCAATATTCTATAAACATCTCTATATTGCTTTAATTTGTAAGTTTATTCTTTATTATTTACATCGTTTTTTTATTAGTTTCACAATTTTTATTTGATTTTGATATGAAAGAATTGCAAACCTATGGAAGTTCAAACTCAAGCAAAAAAATGTCTGGTGACAGCAAAATCATTGATGAAAATGTTAGTTTTTTTGTGTAGGTTTTTTTTTTAGTTGGATATTCAGAGTTGAGTTTCATCACTTTTTTCGAAAATTAACTTCCAAAACATTATTTTTCTTCTGGCACTTGAAGTTCAAAAATTATATATTAATTCCATATTAAAATTCTAAATTTTATTATACTTTTTTTGATACTTGAAAACCAATTTTTTTTACTTTTTTCGGTATTAAAGTGACGAATTTTATAACTAATTTCGGCTATGTACAACTGAATGAAAGATTTTTTTCCCCTTTCTCAAATGGCATGCAATGAGGAAACTAAGATTTGATCAAATATTATGGTGGATTGCACTAGTCATTTTATAGCTAAACATGTAACCTTTAACATGAAATTCGTAAGTTTATAATTTTTATTAGTTAGTTTGTTTAGTTTGTTTTTATGAAAATTGTATGACATTATATACATGTTTTCAACAAAAAAGATGAATTGCTCACTTGGGTATGTGATATTGGAAGGACAAATAGTTTTGTTATTATTATAAGGATGTCGGACTATGGTGGCGGTCGCAAGAGACCAAGAATTTATCTTGCTTGTGAGTGGAGTGAGAAGTATAGATCGCATAAGAAGTTGAATGATGGCTCGAAAAAATTGTTAAGACAAACTAGTATGAAGAAGTACGAATGTCCATTTGATTTGAGGGCATACAAGTTGAAAACAAACAATGAATGGACATTGGATGTAGTTTACAGATTGCATAATCATCTAGCTATGGAGCATCTCCAAGGACATTCATATGTAGAGAGATTGTCAGCTAACGAAAAGTCACTATTTGTAGATATGTCAAAGAGCCTAGTAAGACCAAAAGAGATATTCATTACACTCAAACAAAGGGATGCCCTTAATATGAACACAATGAAAACAGTTTACAATGTACGACATCAATGTAGGGTTCTACAAAAAGCTGCTAGATCCTAGATGCAACAACTGTTGGGTGAATTAGCGAAACATAAATACATAGAGTGTTATCGATGTGAGAAAGGCTCTATAACTGTCACGAACTTGTTTTGGGGCACATCCAGTGAATTTGGATTTGTTTTGTACATTCCCTCGTGTGTTGATTATGGATTGCACATATAAGACGAATAGATATTGGCTTTCTCTTCTTAAAATTGTGGGAGTGCCATCAACTTATATGACATTCTCCGTGGCTTTCACATACTTGCAAAGTAAGTGAGTTTATAATTATGCATAAGCATTACAAACATTGCGTGATCTTATGGACAACAGTGTTTTACTTGAAGTCATTGTCACAGATAGAGAGTTTGCTTTGATGAGTGTCATTGACAACACCTTTCCGAATGCTCGACATTTGTTATGTCATTGGTATATTAATAAGAATGTATTGGCGAAATGCAAGAAAATGTTTGAGACAAAAGAAAAATGGGAAAAGTTTAGCACTACATGGAACTATTTGGTATTGTCATCGATTGAAAAGGAATACAATGATCACCTTGCAATACTGCATAAGGATTTCAGTAACTATTTAGAGGCAATCAAGTATGTTACTGTGAGTTGGTTGAATACGTATAAAAAAAAATTCATTACAATATTGTAGGCGCGCTGCTACTACAGTTCGGACTCAATATGTCACGGTTCTTAATCTGATCTCACAATGTGCGATGAGAGATTGGTAAATCACCAAAGAGTCCAAATCCAACAAATCATTTTGGAAAATTGATTTTTAAGAAAAAAGTGCCAAACATGGACTACTTTGTCAGATACAGAGTCGCCACCTAAATATTTTATTTTGGGAGAATTTAAGAAACCCTGACTTGTGCCTAAGGCCACGTGTCCGTCATCACCAAAGCTGCCTCGGCTCGGGAACTTGGGTACAATTGGGGAAGGTCATCTATGAACACCCTCGGTCGTCCGATCAAAGATCGGTCTGTACTAAGCATGATATCTTGCACACAAGTATAGACTAGATCGCCTAATTTGGAACAAAGCATCGCATATCCGTTTGTTTGGAAATGGTTTGAAGTTTGCTACTCGCGAGTAAGCTAAAACACAGATTTCAATGAATTGTCCTGATTCAAGCAATCCAACCGTCACCCATAGGCATTCAGGCAGTTATATCATATAAGCACTTAGCCTCATGGCAAGCATCCTGTCATGTTAACACTCACATATATGCAAGATGTTAAAGCATAAACACTCACAGTGTACTCCGAGCCGAAACAAAGAACATGTTAGTAATCAAATGTATGATCCAAGTCCATGTTAAGATGGCTAATGCAACACATGCAAAATGCAACTACAAATAGGCTCGGCTATTCTGAGATGTCATGTGAATGCTACATTTGATACATGTATTCAAATTGGAATTTGAAATACAATGCAGTTAGTATGATATCAAATTGGAATTTGAAATACAATGCAGTTAGTATGATGCGCCGAGCCCGGTGCATGCAATACAGATGAATGATGCAAACATGCATAGCATAATGTATGCTAATGGAAATATGCCCTAATTCTAACCATCGTAAGCGGTTAAATAAAAGGGAGAAAGAAGTAGGGTTGGAAGACATGCATCACACATACGCACGCTTATTATATAATTGCGCCCTCTCAACAGAGGGACAGAAAGAATAATACAAATTAACTAATTAACTAACTAATTAATTATTACAAAACACTTAACTAATTAACCAAATTAATTAAGCTACAAAAGTAGTAAAGAGGCCTCGAGAAGAGAGATGCATGCATGCTCGAACGGCTTTGCTCGGAAATCCACCACCATGCTCATGCTGCCTCTATTTACACTGGTCTGCACCTCTGAAAACTGCGCAAGTCTCAAGAATGCTCCTGAACCACTCCCTGAGCACTGTGGGAGGTCATCGACCAAGAGATGAGGCCTTCGGACAAGGGAAATTTGTCATCGACCATGAATGAAGCTCTCGGCCAACAATGCATAGCCGACCAGCACAAAAGATGGCCGGCCGGCCATCTCTTTCTGCAGAATGCTATTTTCCTGCAGCAGAGGACAAACAGAGTATGGCAATGCATTTTCAAAGCAATGTATGCACAACCACCCTTCCTATCATGTCATGAACTCAAGGAAGTATGGTTCTCGACCCTCGGGCCATCATTTCAATGCATGATGGCCAAAGGAGCCGAATGTACAATTAATATCAAATGAAATGCACACCAAAACACATAAAGGACCTAAACCTCTATCATGTTTGATCAAGAGGTAAGGCATGTACACACAATGCAATGCAGCAAGCATGCAAAATGCCATGCAGCAAGCATGCAAAATGCCATGCAATACAACATGATTGACTTATCAAAACTAATGGCATGCCAACTCAATGCGATGCAACCTAAGCATGCAAGTAAGGGTAATGCAACATGAGTATGCCAACAACAATTTCATGCAATTCAACTAGCATACAACAACATGCAAAGACAAGCATATTAGACCAATATAATGCATGCATGATTAACT